GGGCAGAGGGGCTGGGGAGGCTGGGATGTGGGGGGGACGGGGCGGGGGAGGCGGGCTGTGGGAGAGCAGGGATGCGGGAGGGAGTAGGGAGTTAGGGATGTGGGGGTACAGGGGTGGGCAGGCAGAATTACAGGGGTACTGGGATGGGGGTGATGCCTGCAAGAGCGCAGGGATGCAGGAGGAGCGGGTACAGGGCTGGGGAGGCAGGGATGGGGGGGTACGAGGCTAGGGGTGTGGGCTGCAAGAGTCCAGGGATGCAGGAGAAGGGGATACAGAGCTAGGGATGCAGGGATGTTGGTGTGAAGGGCTGGGGATTTGGGGTTACAGCAGTATGGGGCTGGGGGTGCAGGCTGCAAGAGTGCAGGGATGCAGGATGCAGGGGTAAAGGGCTGAGGAGACAGGGATGTGGGGGTACAGGGCTGGGGATGCAGGGATGTGGGGGTACAAGGCTGGGGATGTGGGCTGCAGGACTAGAGAGCTGTGGGGTGCCGGGGTAGGAAGTTAGGGATGCGGGATACAGGGATACGGGGCTGGGGGTGCAGGCTGCGAGAGTACAGGGATGCGGGATGCAGGGGTGCAGGGCTGGGGCTGCGAGCTGCGAGACTGTAGATCTGTGGGATGCAGGGATGCGAAGTTACAGATGCAGGGATGTGGGGGTACGGGGCTGGGGATGCAGGGATAGTGGCTATGGGGCTGGGGAGGTGGGCTGCAGGGGTCCCAGGCGGCAGGATGCAGGGATCCAGGGCTGGGAGTGCGGGATGAAGGGGGACGGGGTGTTGGGATGTGCACTGCAAGGCTGCGGGGCTGCGGGGCGCAGGCTGCGAGGGAAGGGGGGTGCAGGAGCTGGGTTACAAGGATGGGGCACTGCGGGCTGCAGGGCTGCGGGCTGCAAGGTTGGAGAGCTGCGGGATGCGAGCTGTAGGGATGTGGGACGAAGGGATGCGGCTGCGGGCTGCGGGACCGAGGGCTGCGGGACCGAGGGCTGCGGGGTATGGTGCTAGAGAGTGTGGGAATATGGGGCAGGGGGATGTGAGGAGACAGAGCTGCGTGTACACAGAATGCAGGGAAACGGGGCTGCAGAGGTGCAGGGCTCTGGGGTACGCAGCTGCGGGGCTGCAGGATATGGGGATACAGGGCTGCAGGATGCGGGATGCACGGCTGTAGGATGCGGGATGTGGGAACACGGGAAGCAGGATATGGGCAGAGGGAGCTGCAGGATGCGGGACTACGGGAAGCAGGATATGGCCAGATGGGGCAGCAGGATGCGGAGCCACGGGGTGCGGGGACGTGGGATTCAGGATACGGGGTTGCGGGATGTGGGGTGGGCGAGTGGGGCCGCAGAGAGCGGGGCGGTGGGTGCGGGATGCAGGGAAGCAGGCACGTCAGGGCTGTGCCGAGGGGCAGAAACCTCAGCTCTGGCAAAGGGGTTCCTGCGGCCCCCCTGGGCTTTGAACCCCCATTCTCCCGCTGTGCCAAAGCGCTGGGCACAGCCCAAGCCCTGCTTGGGCTCCCTCTCCCCAGCCCTTCCTTGTGCCAGCACCGGGACCCCACTTGGGCACCGAACCGTCCGAGGGAGCCCTTCCCACTCCAAGGGCTCCCTCTCCTTGGGTGTCCCCACGCCCAGGCCAGCACCGGGTGGCCGAGCCGGTGTCACAGAGCTTCGCTTTCCCCTTCCAGGCCAATCGTGGAAAGCGCTGAGCGCCAGCGACAAGCGTCCCTTCGTGGAAGAGGCAGAGCGGCTGCGAATCCAGCATCTCCAGGATCACCCCAACTACAAGTACCGCCCAAGGAGAAAGAAGCAAGCCAAGAAAATCAAGAGGATGGAACCCAATATCCTCCTGCATAACCTTTCCCAGCCTTGCAGTGACAACTTCAGCATGAGTCACCATGGCGGCAGCCAGCCGGGCCACCCCCAGCCTCCCCCACTTAACCACTTCAGAGAACTCCACTCCATGGGGTCGGATATTGAAAACTATGGCTTGCCAACTCCTGAGATGTCTCCCTTGGATGTCTTGGAACAAACCGAGCCGGCGTTTTTCCCTCCGCACATGCAGGATGACTGCAACATGATGCCCTTTCGCGGCTACCACCACCATCACCAGATGGAGTTTCCCCAGGAGAAGTGCATGGGGCGGGACGTGGCGGTGCCCTACGCGCAGACCCCCTCGCACTTGGCCGACGCCATGAGGACTCCCCATCCCTCCAGCATATACTACAACCAGATGTGCTCGGGAACTCAGAACGGGCTTTCTGCCCACCTGGGCCAGCTCTCGCCCCCGCCCGAAGCCCACCACATGGAGAGCGTGGATCACTTGAACCAAACCGAGCTCTGGACAGACGTTGACCGCAACGAGTTTGACCAGTATTTGAACATGAGCAGGACTCGTCCCGAAGCCTCGGGCCTCCCTTACCATGTCTCCTTGTCCAAAGTGACTCCTAGAAGCATCTCCTGCGAGGAGAGCAGCTTGATATCTGCCTTGTCCGATGCCAGCAGCGCTGTCTACTATAGCCCCTGCATCACCGGTTAGGTTGGCCCCACCGCCCAATGCTCTCGCCGGGAGAGCCCCGACTCTCCTCTAAAAACAAAAAGCCATTCTCCTTTAACCACGAGCTCCATCATATTTAGAGTATCTCATTAAATGCATCGCTTTCTTTTGTTTTATTTTGTTGTTTTTTTTTTTTTTAATTTTTTATTTTGGTGTTTTTTGGTTTGGTTTTGTTTGGTTTTTTTTTTTTTTTAGAGACAAAACATGCTGAACTCACTGATATACCGTATAACTATATAACACAGATAGACGCCTTTCCCAAGCACTACCCTGCCTGCCGCCCTCCCCGCTCCAGCCCTCAGCAGAGCGGAGCTGTAGCTCCCACCAGCTCAAAAGGGCATTTTTACGCCAATTCCAGTAAATCCTGCCTGAAACAACCACCACCAGGATGAGCCGAAGCGACCTGCCCTCAGTATTTAACCCAAGGGCAGGCGGACTTTCAGGGCAGGGCGGGAGGAAAACTTTTAGGAAGACTTTGCTGGGGCCATTAAAGAGTCGGCGCCTGTTAGGGGTGGGCTTTAGGACAGTTTTTACTGTATTCTCAGCAATATATTTTAATTGGGCAACAAAACTATATTTTTACTAAGCATTTTTATATATAAAATGGTATTTAATGTCTTTTGGGGTTTTTTTATTAGACTTTTTAAAAATAAATCAAGGGATATCCATGAGATCTAAAGCATTTATGTAGCAAAGCTGGATTTAAAAAAAAAAAAAAAAAAAAAAAG